GTCATTGATTTTCTTAAGTAGTAAACAAATGATTACTTGTAAAACAGAAAAAAAAAATCAGCTCTTTTCACAACTGTAATGTCATTTGATCGAAATAGATTGGCATCCACGTCAAGATATACACACCCTACTTCCTAATCCTCCAATTTATATAAACTGAGAAGGTTAACTTTGATCAAATTCATTTCTTTTATTCTGAGGCGTATGTTGAATTTTCTTGGGGCTAAAATGAAAGTATCAAATCCCCCCACCCCATTTTTTTTTTCATTTAAAAAATTAAAAAATCAATCCCCCGGTTGTAACCCCCCCCCCCCCACGTATGCAAATGTAGCTTGTGTGCATGTCCCTGAACTTATTTAAATTTCTTAAGTCCCAGAATCCCTTTTAGCACACAATGTTTGATATTTTCTAAAAATTATCTATTGTTATATGCATAATTCCGTACATATTGTAATTTATTTTTAAATCAAAATCTATAAAACCCTAAAGTCAGTCACATTCAAAGGGGCTTTGATCTAGATATGACAATGGAACAATTGCAACTCCACATGGTTTCTTCTTATTCAGATGAGTGATATGTGAAATAGTGATTGCACTTTGGATATGAAATTTCGCTGAAATCTAATTTTCATTTATTTTATTTGTTGGGTAGTAAAGTGCCTGATAGATTAATTTGATAGAACTTTGGTGGTAAAGTGCCTGATTAGATTAATTTGATAGAACTTTGGTGATAAAGTGCCTGATTAGATTAATTTGATAGAACTTTGGTGGTAAAAGTGCCTGATGGATGAGTAGGAGAGAAGATGGGATGGTGAAGGGCCTGATGGATCAGTTGGATAGAATGGGATGGTGAAGTGCCCCATTCTCAACTTTTATGGTTGGTCACAGACAAATTAGGGAAACCCTAATAATATATAATAACTTGAATAATAATAAGGACAAAATTTCATTATTAAAATTGCAATAATTTTGTTCTTCTTAAAATTGTGCATATTTCTTAGCAGAAAAAACTAGTTATTTAAATTATATTAATTTTACGATAACAAAAAATTGGCAATAAAATGGTATCAAGGGAGAACATATACTTGTCATTTGATGGTAATATTAATATACGTTTTATTAATATATAAGAACTTTAATTCATTTTACTCAAGCAACTGGCTAAAAATGTCATAATAATTATAATTTTTTTAAAGTATGTTTGTATATATATATAAATAATTATTAAAAGTATTATGGTAGTTCAAAGAAAAAAAACAAGAAAACAAAAATAATTAAATGTATACGTGTTAGCCATGAATGACACTTTTGAACTAGGCTGGTGTATACGTGTTAGCCATGAATGACACTTTTGAACTAGGCTGGGGGTTAAAGATTGTCGGATGTATTATTACAATTAGGATGGTAATAAATTATTGTTGGATATATTTTAACTATTTGTTCATTATCCTTATTTGTCATTGAAGTACTGTGGACTTATCTTAACATAAAGTAATCAATCGTGGAAGTCGAGGGGGGGGGAGGGGTGACACCATGAGTTTACCGCACTGGGTGAAACCATGAGCTTACCGCACTGCGTGACACCATGAGTTTACCGCACTGGGAGACACCATGAGTTTGCCGCACTGGGTGACACCATGAGTTTACCGCACTGGGTGACACCATGAGTTTACCTCACTGGGTGACACCATGAGTTTACCGCACTGGGTTACACCATGAGTTTACCGCACAGGTTGACACCATCCCTAGGCAAGTCACTGTATATATTTTTATTTGTTAATATACATATATATATATATATATATATATATATATATATATATATATATATATATATATATATATATATATATATATATATATATAGACGTTTTGCTTTAGGGTAAGAAATTTAAACAAAGAGTGATTTGTAATTTTTAAAGATTGCTAAAATTCGGTCATAGATGTTAGCATTGCAAGTAACATTTACCTTCAGTGAACTAAAATAATCTCATAAACAAAATCGTGAAAATCATTGTTGATATATATTTCAATTATCCTTTTTGTATGACATTTGCAAATTGCTTTCACAAATAGAAACATTTGTTTGATTAAATTGTTTTACAATCGTATTTCAATATCCTCGAGCTATTACTAAGCTCAACGCATTACGTTCACACTAATAAACGATCCACTTTTGAAAAAAAAATTAACAACGTGCATTGTTGTGCATCGGTGTTAATCTTTCTATGAAGCCAAACTTAATCAGTTTATCTAACGGTATAAGATGAAATTCAGGGGCATCATTTCAGCTTTTAATTCAGTGGTGTGGGTATCAAAGACTTGGACAGCTTGTTAAGGTGTTTATTACTGGAGGCGCCCCAGTAAAAAGCAATACAAATAAAACCTACAAATACCCAAATGACGTCCCAGATTAAAAAAAGAACAAACTAACACACGATAATTTTCTTATTCATTATATGTTTATTAAATAATTAGATCATATTGTTTTGAAAGTGTCTAAGAAAACATAATTTACATTTAGAAAATTACTTTAGTTTTTAAAAAAATTGGTTTTAACTTCCTATTGAGATAATAAAATAGAAATATTGACCCATTTATGACTTTTCTCTTTTAAACATTAAAAGCTAAAAAAGACATAAATATAAACATTCGTTACAAAAATTATATGCTACTAATTGTGTGAGTGTGGTCGATTGCATGTGCTGAGTTAAGATGTGAATGGTTTACTTAGGGCCAGTCATGTTATTTTGGTTCCTAATGGTTTACTTAGGGCCAGTTAGTTATTGCCCTTTGAATAGTTAACTTAGGACCAGTTATGTTATTGCCCTTTGAATAGTTAACTTAGGACCAATTATGTTATTGCACTTTGAATAGTTGACATATGGTTAGTTATGTTATTGCATTTTGAGTCGTTTACTCGGGCTCCATTTATGTGACTGGTTGTGGATAGCTGATTTAGGGCAATTTTTTGTGATTGGTTGTAAATTGTTTACTTAGGTCTGGTTATTTGATTGGTCGAAGTGTAAATGGCAAAAAGCAATGTGAGGCGAGCAAATGCTTTGTGGTCACGGGTTGTAACGAGTTATAAAATGTTGTACTTTGAGAAGAACAATGCCTCGTTAGTCAATGGCAGACAGTGTGTCTAGAGCAGTATTAGTTTCAGATGTGAAACCAAACAAGACTTTTATGTCAACTTGTCAATATCCAGAGTGTCTGTTTGTATTTAGTGCTTTCAACCTGTTTGTTTTTTCACTGCCGGCGGTCATTCAGTGTAGACGCAAGTATATCCTACAAAAGTGTTCTCTTACAAAACAGTTAGAGCTTACCAAACTGACCATCAAGTAAATGATCCCACTTTGGGAGTTTGTTAATGGATGAACTCGCCCCAATAAGGACCTTTGATACTTGATTGATACTTGGGCACACAAGGCTTCACATTACAATCTAAGAGAATGTGCCGGGCTTTTTAAATTCATTTTGTATCTTCTTACGATATATATATATATATATATATAGATAGATAGATAGATAGATAGATAGATAGATAGATAGATAGATACTATCTATCTATCTATCTATCTATCTATCTATCTATCTATCTATCTATCTTAGATAGATAGATAGATAGATAGATAGATAGATAGATAGATAGATAGATAGATAGATAGATAGATAGATAGACAAAAGCGTGTTGGTCTATGCATAAGTGTACAGGTCTATGCATAATTGCGCAGTTCTATGCATAATTAACATTATATAAGCTTGAAATTTGGTAAGTAAATTAACCGGTTTGATTGAATTGATTTGATCAGCAAAAAAAATAAAGTCTTATTTCATAACTTCTCCATCGCCCAGATGCTACCAAATAAATTAATAACATAATCACATTTTTCAGTCTGCATTTAAGTATACATTTTAGACATAATCAATACGAACACAAGTTGTTTTCAATCCCACTGTTTATTAGACATCTGAATCAAACATTACAGTGCACTTCATGAACTAAAACTTAAATAGAACTAATACCAGGTAGATTTCGTTCGTTACTTTCTGTGTCCCAGGTATATGTGGGAGGTTGGAGGATGTAGGTGGCAGATGTGGTTGTGGGATGTGGGTGGCGGATGTGGTTGGCAGATGGTGGGTGGGAAATTTGGTTAGGGGGATGAACATCTGATAAAAAGTGTTGTCTAACGACATTGTGTCTATGTGCCAAGTTTCAGCTCGATAGAATGTCGGCAAGTGGATGTCTTACTACCTAAAATATATTTCTTAAAACACTGAAATACTTGATGATGTCATACGACTTGGGATAATTGTTATACTACTATTTCAAAAAGGAGGAGTTTATTATGCTTCGATTATCATGACTTGGGCCAAAACTGTAACCGGAAGAGTTTATGAAACCCATTTTGATAAATGAATGCTTTCTTGAATGAACGTTTCTTTAAAATTAAATTGGTTCGAAGAAGATCTTTTGATGTCTTTTCTTAACAGAAATGAAAAAAAAAAAATTGGGGAAAACTTTTTAAACATAATTAGGATGTTGTTGGTTTTTTTTTATAAAGCAGTTCAATTTGAAACAAATGTCCGTTAAAATAACCATTCCTTAAGATGAATGTGCCTCCAACTATGGGGTTTCATGACAATTTCAGACACATTCGATGACCATTGAATAGAATTATTTGAAGATTTACAAAGCGCTATCAAAAATAACATTATCGACATTATTAGGTCTTATCTTATGTTGGGCATATATTTTTTTTTCTCTTCTTTCTTTATTTCTTGCAATGAGCAAAAAATATTTCCTGGATCACAAGAAAAAAATAATAAAATACAAAAAAATTAATAAAAAAAAGGAATTTTTAAAAATACAATTAAATACAGTCAAACAGCTAAAATCTAGACAATTGAAAGCTTGATCACTAAACTCGCAAGTTAGACCTAATAAATTGTTGTTTAAATTTCTGTCAAAGCAAACAGATCCTGTATAGCATTAAAGTGAAGAGATCACAAACAAGCCACGTAAATTCAAACCAATAGATTAATGAACGCGGACAGACTCAAAAACAGTAGAAAATTGAAGTTGATGAAATTCGCACCACAAGTCATCATCGAGAGATTGACAGTTGAAGTGGAAGCGAGGATCGCGTCGGTGGTGTGGTGGGTAGTCGTTGCAGCACTTGTGACGGCTGTTGAGGCTCCGGTGTTGGTTGTAGCAGGGCCATTTGTTGCGGTTGAAGAAGCCACCGGACCTGGAGTTGTGGTTAGTCTTGGAGTGGTGGTCAGTGCTGGGGTTGTGGTCAGTTCTTGAGTTGTTGTCAGTCCTGGAGTTGTGGTCGGTCCTGGAGTTGTGGTCGGTCTTGGAGTTGTGGTCGGTCTTGGAGTTGTGGTCGGTTCTGGAGTTGTAATTAGACATGCCAAAAAGGTGAAAATAAGTATTGAGTCCATTCAGCTGCGACGTTGCTGAAACGTACATTACTTCTGTCCTGTCATGGAATTAGGTTATCTCATTCAAACCCCTTCAACCACTATTTTTTTGTAAATATACTAGTAGTGTTTCTGTAAAATAACGTTATGAGCCATACAACGTTAGGAGCCAGACATCGTTAAGAGCCATACAACGCTAGGATCCATACAATGTCAAGAGCCATTCAACGTTAGGAGCCATACAATGTTAAGAGCCATGCAACTTTAAGAGACACAAAACGTTTAGAGCCATACAACGTTAGGAGCCATACGATGTTTAACATTCTAATTAAAATGAGTAACTTTTATGTGATCAGAAACACGTCAAGTGATTCTGATTGTCGTGTTTCCACAAATGTTTATCATGTGCATGCGTTTACAAGTCTATTTATGCTAGCGACACGTTGGTGTTCTTATAATATAGAACAGTTTCATCCACTTGTGATGTCTTGGTGCTCTATCGGTTTTTTTTTTCTTTCTATTTTTAACAAACTGTCAAATGACAACACATATAGTGGATGATTTGGTTTATAGGTCGCATACAATGGTTTTCCTAATAATATTGAAATAAACTGGTAATAGAAATATATGTTGTGACAATTCAACAATGTTACCAAAGTAAAATGATAAATGAGAAATACAATACCTTTCTCCATACAAAGAAAAGACGCGTTTTCGCTGCAGTCTTTGGCGTAGAGCTCAAAAATCCATTTCCATGGATTCACCTGGTAGTACACGTTCAGCTGCGCGCAGTCCTCCGTGCTGGTCACACTCTTGGGCTCATTGGACATCCAAAATTGGGACAGCTCCGTGGCTTCTGCGCTGTCGTCCTCCCACACCCAGGTGCCCTCCACAGCAATATCGTTAGCCCCGATCCAAATTTTGTTATCTGCAGTATCGATACATTCAACAGTTCAGCTACATGATTACATGAGGAAGGGATGATTATAAAAAGATTTATATCAATAATTAAAAAAAATATCTTGTTTAATCGACAAACATCTGATGGCGCAGGAGGAAATGCAAAGACTGGGTGAAGAGCAGCGGTTCTCAACCTGTGGGTTGAGATTTTTGTTTTTGGGGTGGGGGGGGGGTCGAACGACCCATACTCAGGGGTCGTCTAAGATCATCGGAAAACACATATTTATGAAGTAGCAACGAACAAAATTTTACGGTTTGGGGTCACAACAATATGAGGAACTGCATTAAGGGGTCGTGGCCTTAGTAAGGTTGAGAACCACTGATTTAGAGGAATAGGTGGCTTAGAGATTTCTTGCATAATTGTTTATTCCAATGTTGACTGGTGTAATTCAACTAAACCTATTCATTGTGCATTAACGTAAGATTGTAACGGGGGAAGAGGGGGTCTATATTTTTGTTTCAATCTATTATTTCTTTCCAACTTTAGGAAATATGCTACTTTTGTCGTGAAAGTAAACATTTTGGCCACGGTTAGCAGAGACAGACATAACCAACACAGATGTAGCGATATATGACCAGCTAATAATAAAACGGTGTTGCTTGAAATTCAGAACATGTCCAATCATCCAATTTCGAATAATACATCGTTAAGAAATGTCGGAATATTTTAAAACTTGTGTGAATATTGTCAAATGATGTAGGTCAAAGTTGAAACTTGGAGAAGTAGATGAGAGGAGAAAATTGAAAAGGAATAATGAAGAAAAAATACTCTTAAAATGCTAACAAAAGTTCAACTGGAAATGGAGCAAATCAGAACAAAATGGAACAACGAGTTTATGAACGAGCCCACAATTGTTCTGATGAACTTCTGTTTGCAAACATCGGACCAAAGGGACAAGTCCGATTTGAATCTCTAATAACTAAATTTTTTTTTTGTGAGAAAAGTAAATCAGCACATGCACCATTGACGTTATGTAAAAATGTCGTGACACAGAACATGAACATATATATTAGTAGACATCGGTTCAATAAACGCTTGTAGATAAAACGGCTGGAAATCAAGTTTACAAAGGACTGAAACCCGGATGGATATCACGGTACAGCAAATGGTGCTGAGAGCAAATACATTTTGATACAAAACACACACACCCCAGCCCAACTCATGAGGCCAAAAAAAAAAATATATGTATTAAGATTAAATCATATTTTAAAATAACACTTGGTATATTTCAAAAAATCCGCTGATAGGAAATGGCTCTATATAAACGTGGGGGGATAAAAAAAATCTTCCCTTGCGGGTGAAATGTTAGGGCGAGCAGGTATCACGTTTGGTGCGGTAATAATCAGACGCAGTATTGCCCAAGAGGATATTAATCGGATTGTTCGGCCGTTCATGATGCTGTGGTGTAATCTGAATTGCGAGGATGAAATAAGAGAGACTCCGTTTTGAGGCCTTGAAGATGACACCACCGATGACCCATCACCTGTTTTTAAGGGCAACACAGGTGGCACATCAACAGTGTTAAGGGCAGCACAAGTGGCACATCGGCTGTGTGGAAGACACGTTAAATGAGAGGAAGGTGTATCTCCTGCTGACCGCACCACGCCTTGCACAAACTGTACCGCAACGTGTGTCGCCCCCCAGGGTTGAAGCAAAAATGACGACTTACACCTATAATTTCTCTAGGACTTACTGTTTCTGTTACCAGTTGAATCCTCTAGCTGTTTCCAGGTCCTTACCGTTGCCAGAACTGAGTCGTTTTGTTGACATGCAATCTAGTATGGAAATATTTTAAAACCTATTCAGAATTCAGTATATAATCTAAACAGCATGAAGACTTCATGATCAAAAGACTTAAGTTGAAATGGATTTTTATGCTGCTTTTAATTCTCTCTCTCATGTTTCACATTCATCCTAAGGGAAGTGACGATAGCAAAAACAAAGCAAAGATTGCGGAATAATCAAAGGTAGCGAATAAAGCGAAAACAACTACGATATGGTGTGTGTAAAAGGAGACAATAAACCAAAAAATTTTTTTTTTACAAGGTTAACTCAATTATTTTTAGCATGATGCCTACAGTCTACTAGCTATGCCTTAACAGGCCCCCTGAGCAATAAAGCCACAGTTTACTTTGCTATCAATATAATAGAAACTATTTGTTGTTAATTTTTTATTTTTATTAAACGCAAAGCTGTTAAACTAAAATAATAAAAAAAAAAAAACACAAAAAAAAAACCAATTAGATATCTATACTTGAAACGATGTTTCAGCTGTGGTCTCGAATACACGAATGTAGGTTTTCCTCCAATACACCAAAAGTTCAGCATAGTTACCTTGGCATCCGCATAGGACAGCTTCCTGTTGTCGATCCAGAAACATTGGCCTTCAGACTGCGAGGCGTAGATCGACTTGCATGACGCTGCCATCACAAAAGTGGATATTAGAAATAAGTGCCTTTTTTTTGTGGTAAATTTTATAACTTTGGGGGGTATTAATTGAGATTGTTGTATCATTTGAAATGAGTAAGACTAACATCAATATATTATGATCAATCTCTCTCTCCTTCTTTCTCTTTCTCTCTCTTTCTCTCATTCTCTCTATCTCTACACAATTATCCCTTTTATCTTTAACTACAAAAACACGCTTTATTACCGTTTTGAAGATAATTTTTTTGAAAAAATACACATTGAAAATATGTCTTTTCTGTTAATAATGATGCTTTTATATTAATGTTAGACACTTTGGCAAATTGTATTTAATTCAAAAAAATTTTTTTTTAACAAATTTTGTTTGCAGCTTTATTGTTTTTAATGTGTATTTTTGATACTGCACTAGTGCTGGAATGCCACTCAAAGAAATAATGTGTTTGTGTTTTAATTATTTTTTTTAAAGTACTTTTGATAGACACAATATTATTATGTTTTTTTTATTTGTTACCGCCTAGTCCACACATTTGTAGCAATTGATCCGACCCATGCAATAGCTATGTTTGAACTTTTATATTTATGTAGCTCATTTAATACAGATAAACAAATGTAGGGCCCCCGTCCCATAACGGAATACTGTAAAGTGGTTGCACTTATTCAGAATACTATTTCGGGCGTGCACACAACAACTCAACAAAGTTTTGTGGCAATCAGATGAATGGTATAGGAAGGCATACGGAAATGATATTTAAGAAGCTCATTTCAGAGAAAAAAATATAATTTAGGGCCTTTGGTCCAAAACTTAATTTTGCAAAATGGGTGTACAAATTCTGAAACCTACTAAATTAAGTCACGCACAAATGTAAATATCTCTGTTCGTATTTGATTAAATTCCATCCACTCATGCATTAGGTCTGTTCGAAATTATATTATCTACTTCATATAATAAAAAAAAAACCAATTTAGGGTCACCGACTCCAAACGTAATATTGAATAATGGTTAAACTATTTCATAAACCTACTTATGGCGTCACAAACGAACTGAACTTGGGTTTGCGCAACATCTCAATAAAGTTTTATCGCATTCAGATAAATTGGTATAGGAGCGCAAACGGAAATTATTTTTTTACAAAGCTCATATGAGAAAGAAAAACGAATTAAGGGCCCAAGGCCCAAGGCCCAAGGCCCACAACGGAATAATTTTTAAAAGGTTTGAAATAACTCAGAAAAATTCGCGTGCTTGTGTACAACAATTCACCAAAGTTTTACGCAATCGTATGAATGGTATAAGAGCACATAAAGGACATACATACAAACATACAGACAGTCATTTATATATAAAAAAAAAAAAAAAAAAAAAAAAAAAAAAAAAAAATATATATATATATATATATATATATATATATATATGTATATAAATATAAAGATACAATAATAATATACTTTAAGTCTTTTCTTGTGATGTCACAACAAGTTTAAACACACGCAAATTATTTTCTCTACATTTTTAAAACAATAGACTAATAAAATAAAAATTGAAATCCTTGCCGAAAAGAAAACCCTCATCCAATTAGTTCACACATAAATTACATCTATAAATACACTTGGCCTTACCACTTCTCTCCACTTGAAGACTTATAAATGTAAGAAACAAAAGGACATGCACGTGTTTCCATCCCATGGTTACTGCATGGGAAGAAGAAATAATGGGACTTCACTTTTTACATTTTTAAAAATATTTAAAGAACATTCTTTAAAAATACCTGCCAACTACATGTTAAATTATAATAATCGTTTCTGTTAAAGAAATTTTTAAGAAAACTAGACGGTAAATACTTTGAGATCTCAATTGCGTAAATAATGTGCAATGCATTAGTGAAATAATGTGCAATGCATTCTTGAAATAATGTTCAATGCATTATTGAAATAATGTTCAATGCATTATTTAAATAATGTGCAATGCATTATTGAAATAATGTTCAATGCATTAGTGAAATAATGTTCAATGCATTATTGAAATAATGTTCAATGCATTATTGAAATAATGTTCAATGCATTAGTGAAATAATGTTCAATGCATTAGTGAAATAATGTGCAATGCATTAGTGAAATAATGTTCAATGCATTAGTGAAATAATGTTCAATGCATTATTGAAATAATTTGCAATGCAATTATGCAAATAATGTGTAAAGTATTACTAAAATAAGATGTAATACATTTGTGAGATGAGGTAGAACTCGGTTATATCGACGGCCTCGGGGTTTGCCAAAAAGTGTCGAGATAACCAATGATCGAGATAACCATTATGGCGGCCACATAATAACATAGGCTTGAAATTTATTTATGTTCATCAGGGGTCTCAGACTCGCGGCCCGCGGGCAATTTGCGTGCCCGCAAGACGATACACTACGGCCCGCGCGTTTCCCCCATTCTCATCTCATAATGCGACGGTTTTAGTTGAAT